TTTATCATAAATATTGTCAAAATTATGAAGATAGTCACAAATGTAATCTGCTTTCATACTATAGTTCAAAAAAAAGATTTATTATCAAAATATATATAATTGTTTAATTAAGAAAAATATTAGAAAACATTTACCCTATAGAGTGATAAATCAAAAGAGGTAAAAATAATTTAATTAAATAAATCTTTACATAGTATAGTAATAAATATATATAATGAGCAATCAAAACCAAGAAATTTTACCTGAAGTCAAATTTACCTCTTAGCAAGTCGAGCAAGCATTAATAAATGTAGTTAAAGCAAGGCTCTATTATAGAAAACCTAAGAATGAAAATTTCATGTAAAGCTATAAAAAAAGAGTTAAGAAATTGCATTAATCAGAAAATCCTAAACAATATGTAATAGATTTAGCCTAAACAATATTTTCTAATGAGCGTAAATATCATCAAATTATAGATGATTATAAATCTTGGTATGGAAGAGATCCAGAGATTCTTAATCATTATAGATTTATATAAGTTATATTATAAATTAACTAAAGATTATTTTATTAAGAAAGAAGATATTAATAATAAAGCAGAAGATTTCTTATTGTCAATTTAATAAGATTCATTGTGGTGGATACTTCATATTAGGAGAAATGATTTGAAACTCCTCTTTTACAAAAGACCTTTTTAGACTATTGCTCTCATCATCTATTAGCCAGTATAAGACCGGCTGATTTTTTGTATTAAAAATTCACAGATCTGATAAATCTTAGAAGACTAATTCATATCAGTTGCGTGTCTTCTTTCTCCCTCATATTCACTCAAATTAAGCAGGTATATAATAGAATTATTGTAAGATAATCTATCTTCATTATATCCTATAGGCCCATTTCGTGGTTTAGAAAGCTTAGCAATTACTCTTTCTTTTTTATTGCCTTAGCTGGAGTAATACTAAGTAAGCGAGTTACAGAGTTATTAAGATCTTTTATTATTAAATCAATAACATCAGATAGGTCTTCTAACTCTATTATATCAAAAGAGGAATCTAATGAGTCATACGCATCAAGAATATTATAGAATCATTCTTGAAAAGTTCTATCAAATCTTTTAACAATACCCATAATTTTCTTAGACTTAGCCTTCTGAATTTTTACGTCATGCTTTCTTAGTAATTTTTTACATTCGCTCTTAAATTCAGACCCCTTATCTGATAGAAATACTTTTGACTAAATAAGAGGGTTTTTGAGATCATTATAAATTTTTTCTGAGTATTTAGCAATTGTAGTTAAAGTTAAAATGCTTTGTATATTCTTAATACTCTTGGCAGGACCCTAAAAGCTACACTAATAGGAATAGTTACTTTATATCTTGAAGCTATATCAACTATATTTAGGTAAAAAAGATAAATTGTTTGTCTAAATTTAATATGTCGCATATAGAGAATATCTGCTTGGTGAACTTTATTAGGCATAGTAATAATATTAAAATTTACTTGTGGGATAGATTTAAGATGAGATTTATGTAATAGGTGTAATATTTGTTTTTTTAGCTAACTGTTCACTTCAGCTAAAGTAAAATTATACCCAATCTTTTTAAAGGCTTTGTGTAATTTTTTGCAGTTCTTTGATAGCCTAAAGGCTGATAATAAATCTTTTGCAAAGCAATAGAAACATCTAATTTTTGAGTTTTACCTGAATCTATTAGAATAATAGGAATCAATAAGTGTTGAGCATGCATATCTCGATTTACTAGACAGTAATTTAGAATTGCAAATAAAGTTGACTAAAGAAAAAACTACTACTATTAAAATAAGAAAAAGATTTATAAGCTCACAAACGATCTAGAATAATGTGAGCTATATATCAAATATCTTAAAAAGAATCTTATCTTACGAGAGGATGAGTTAGATAGATTAAAAGCAGAATACTGCTTCACCTTACATAATCTCAAAAAATATCAGAATTATTTAGAGCTAAAGGATGAGGCATTAATCACACAAGATAATCAAATCATTCTGTTAGAAGATATAGTAGAAAAGCTCAAAAGTCAAATTCTTAAGATATCACTTTTTCAAAATAATAGTAATAAACCTTTTGAAGAAGAATATCAAGAAAATATGGCACTATCAGATATCTTAAGAAATATTGGTATAGCTTTAAATCAAATTGAAGGATATATCAATGGCAATACATCATTTGATCTAAGAAATACACTGAATGAAATACAGATCTTAATAACAACTATTTGAGAGCATAATCAAAGATATACTCAGGATAATGCTAATTTACAAGATTTGCTTAATGTATCCAATAAGCAGATCAATAGGATTATGAATGATATGACAAATTTTAGAAATAATTGTCTTCGAAGGGTATAGATGATAAAGTAAGCATGAAGGGATGAAAGACAAGTCTGACAACAAGGAGATGATAAAATCATTAATCTTAGAGATATGGTATGTGAAAATATTTATGAAAAATGTTAGTAGAAAAGAAGATATACTACATATATTCAACAGGCTCAGAATTTAAAAAGATATTATCATCAAAGCAGAAATAATATAAGATTGCTAGAATATAATCAAGACAGACTATATAATCAATATTAAAAATGGAAGGCTAAGGAATTAAATTTGAGGCAAATTATTTTGAATTTATAAAACAATCCTTCAGGAAATATGGCTACCATTCAAGATGTCATGCATACTATTTCTCTAGCACTCACATAGTTATCTGATTATGATGGTCAAAAGTCTCCAGATGTATACTACTAAAAGCTTAGAAATATAAATAAAATGGTACATTTATTAGCTGTCGTCAGATTTAATGCGTTAGTAAGAAGCAATATTATAAGAAATAAAATGACTGGAAGGTTTGCACCTATTCCTGCTAATGATCCTTATACTGGAGGTAATTCAGTTATTAATACTGAATCTCTTTTCCTAGCCTAGTTGTATGAAAGATATAGAGAAGTTATGATAGGAACTAACTAAAGTGCTATATTTGCTCTTGTTAATGAAAATTCTTTAAAATAAATACCTTAGATAATTATAAAAAATGAATTAAACCACTAGTACAAGCAATACAATATGTTGATATCATACCTTATTTATTTAATCATTTGCCTTCTGATTTAAAAATGAGAGTTAGAATTGCTAATCCTACTATAGTCAATGCATTTTTTACTGAGTTACGTAATAAATGGCATGAAAGTGCAGGCAAAAGAATACAAGCTTCTGTATCAGCTCTAGTTAGCTTTACTACACAACTACAAAAAGATGATTTTAAAATTTGGTTAGCAAAAGATTTGACTTATACAGGAATAGGAACAGATGATGCTATATTAGAAAAATTTATTTATGAAAAACTTAAAAAGAGATTAGGAGCAAACAAAATAGCACATGTAAGAAAGAGCCCTTCACACCTAAAAGTATATATACTACAAAAAAAGTAGTTAAAAAGGTAATACCAAGCAAAACATCAAGCAAACTTATCCAGCATTACTCTATTTGTGAAAAGGCTAATCATACAAAGGTTAATTATCCTAAAGGTAAGCGGACTAAAAAAGTTAATTATATATACTAACCTACATTAAATTACTGGATTTATAATCATGTGATTTATCGCGTCTGTAATAAATTCGCAATTTTTTCCTAATGTACATAAAAATAATAAAAAAAATAATACATACATATTTTTTATCTTCTTCAAAATAGAAATGCGTGGAAACGAGCTGCCCGAAGCTCAATGTGAAAGAATTATCAGTGCATATCTAAGTGGTACCAAGCAAACAGTTATTTCAACTCAGCTTGGTATTCCCACTAGCACTGTCAATGATACTATAAAAAGATACAAAGAAACAGGTTCTGCAATATCTGAGAAGTGTCCTGGTCGTCCTAAAATACTTAATCAACGTGATAAATGGACGCTATAATGTATCATTTAAAATAATCGGTTTGCTCCTCTTAGTGATATAACAAGCAGATTAAACTCTAGTCTTGATACCATATTGCATAATAATACTGTTAGAAAATACCTTTATGATGAAGGCCTTGGTAGTTATATCGCTCGTAAGAAACTCCTTTTAATCCAAAAACAGCAAAAGGATAGGTTAAAATAGAGTAGAAAGAAACGAAACTGGGTGATGAATGGAAAAAGATAATATGGTCTGATGAGTCCAAATTTGCTCTTTTTGAATCAGATGAAAGAATAAGAGCTTGGAGAAGTCCTAGAGAAGCTTATAATAAAAATTGTATCTTACCTACAGTTAAATTTAGTAGTGGTTCATTGATGTTTTGGGGTTGTTTTGGTTGGCATAGGGTTGGACCTTTGGTTGTAGTAGAAGGAAGTATGGATTCTGATGCATATATCAATATTCTTGCTAACCACTTTATACCATGGGTTAGTAACTATCCTAACTCTATTTTTCAGCAAGACGGAGCTCTATGTCATATATCAAATTATAGCATTTGGTGGATGAAAACACATAATATTCCAATCTTAAATTGGATGGCACAAAGCCCTGATCTTAACCCGATTGAGAATCTGTGAAATCATTTAGATCAGCAGATTAGAAAAAGAAAGCCTTTACCTAAATGTAAACAGGAATTAATAAATATAGTTCAAGAGGAATGGAGAAAAATTAGCATAGAGATGGTACATCACTTAATTTTATGCTTATCTAATCGTGTTAATACAGTAATTAAGGCTAAAGACGGACACACTAAATATTAGTTTATTAAAATAGGACCCTGAATATTATCATTAGAACCTTCTCATACGGATTTGAAAATTTTGAAAAAAGTTCGACGGTTCTTATTATACGATTATGGAAATTTGGCTAAAGTTGGGAGTACAGATTTCAGCCAATGAATGTTTACTTCCACTATACAGATTTACAATAAATATTAACTTACGCATGCAAAATTTAAGTGTTAAAACTACTTTCTCATACAGTTTAACAAATTTTAAACATATTTAGAATATTTGTAACATCTTTATTTTTTCTGGTAATCATGAACTCTGGTGAAAATAGCAATAGTTTAAACTTGTCCAAAAATACATTGCAACAAAAAAACTTGATTATTTTGGAATAACAGGTAATTTTGTTCAAGAAAAAGGTAAAGGAAAAAGCACTACTTCTCATTTAGAAATTTCAAGTGAAAATGCTTCAACTAAAAGAAAAAAAGATGAAAATATAAATTTCACGATAGCAGCCACTCTTCAGGAGCTCGAAGGCTTATCAGGACAAGCTTTATTAAGAATGATTTTAGAGAACAAATTGTATACTTTTTATGATGATAATAAGCATGTTTATTGTCAAAGTTGTCAAAAACCAATAACACTACATCATTCAAATGATGGAGTTAGGTTAAAGGAACATATCATTACTCCAACGCATATCGGAAAATCTCAGGAAAGTGGATCAAAAAGGATGTGCTCCACTTTTTTGACATCCTTTTTTAATTGAACAAAGGATAATAATACGCCAGAAACAGATAATAATTTTATTGATTTGACTGAATCAGCTGATGATAATGATGATATTGTATTAATATCACAAAGAAATCAAAATCAAAAACCCTTGGAAATGACATCTAAAGATTCTAAACAATATGGTAAAGTATTCAATCTTGTTTATTTAGTAATCGTATTTATTGTTTAAATAAATAATCTTGCATTTTGTTGTATTTATACGGTAGTTTGTAATGGATTTTTCGGGTCTGAGTATGCTGTTTTTGCGAAATACCGTACTTCAATTCTTGATCAAAAGACCAAAGTTTAATACACGATTCTTCAGAATGATGATTTATATAATGGATTAAATCGTGCAGGAGGTTATTTTAAAAGTATAAAGTGCCTTGAGTATTGTTCCAAAAAATGGTGTTATGAATGTGGCCAATTAGCAAAAAATGAAGCATTTAATAGAAGAAAGCGAGAATACCAAAAATTGGTTGCTCAAATCGATTGTGCTATAATTTTGCTTACAAATGAAGAATTACCCAATTCAATTTGTCATAAATACAGCCAGATACCTAGTTTCAATAAATGGATCAACAAATTCTTTTAATGAACTTAATGCGCGTATAAAAAAGCAAGAAAACCATCAAAAAAAGTTTTGCTCTGATAATCTTGATAATTTACTTAATTACTACAAGAAGGAGATTCAGGATTCTAAATATCAACATTTGGTTAAGGATTATCCAAGATTGGGAAACCTTTTGGAAGAAGTAGAGGAACATGGAATCAAAAATTAGATGATATATTGTACTCGATATATGGTAAATAAAACTATGGAAGAACAGTGACCTATATTTATAGGAGTAGCTCAATCAGTTACAAAAGTTCTAGATAAAATAGAACGTAATGTTACCACAATGCGTGGAATTCAATATAATGAAACTTTTGTTGATTTTCTTGTGATTCTTATATCAATCAGTACTCTCGCTATAAGATGGATCACATTGAATCTTGCTGGACCAACAATAAGGTTTCTTTGGCAAATACGAAATAAAAGTAACGATTCTTTTGACCTTTTAGGAATTAACGTTTCAAATTTTGATGAATTAATTAACAAATGGTGAAATGCATATAATTATTTAGGACCAACTATATGCGCTAAAGACCAAACTAAAATTGCTGAAATGATCGAAATAGATCGCTATCATTCTCAGTTTATTGGATGTGTACAAATGCAATAAACTTTTATTCCTCAAGTAATGACACTTGAAGAACTCCAGCAAAAATTGATGTATCTTAAAAAGGCAACTTATATTACAGTTTTTGCAATTTCAGCAGTTATACCTGGAATACCACCTCTCGTAATCGCAGTACTTCCATCAGATCAAAAAGAAACCTCAGCGATTGCATTTCAAGAAAATAATTTAGTAGTCAAATACCTTAATCGTGTTGGGGCAAAATTAATTGGACTGTATCAGAATTGGTTAGGCAGGATATATAAACCTGATTCTGAACTTCAAGTTGAATTAGGATTAACTAAGGTATTATTAAAAAGTTATTGTTTAATTAAGATTGAGAATAATGTTCAAAATCATCTTTACTATCTAATAAGTTTACTATCTAATAAGGAATCAGGATCAATTATAGCTGAAAAATTTCCTCTTGAACTTCATTTGCTTGAAGGTAAATCACCGCTTCTAAGTGGAACTGATTTTTATCATTGTATAAAAAAAGGTTTATTAGTTTAATCTTATAATATACTGTATCTTAAATTGAATGCATAATAAATTTATCTAATACTTTCTTCACTTAGGACGTAATATGCATAATTCTAGCATACAGGTCGTGCCAATTGGCAATTATGTAATGTTAACGGAACATTTTTGGAAACTTTATAATATGTATGAAGGAAAATCTGAACTAACTACAGATGTATTAAATTCTAAGGATAAGCAATCTGATAAGCTTGCTGAACGGTTTTATTCATCACATTTTTTAAAATGTAAAGTTTTATTAATTATTTAATCTTTTTTATTTTAGTTTGTCATTGGTATTAATTATATCAACTAG